TGTGGTACATATTTGGTGTAGATATTAAACCTTCGATTAAATTTATTACTAGCTAAAATTAAAAAAATGTCAAAGAGCAAATTACATATAAAAAAATGATATTGTATTATATATTGTATATGTATGTTTAATAAATGTGAAATAGAAGAATGTAAAAGTAAGAAAACAATTAAGGGATATCAACTTTCCTTACATTTATAATTTTTATCTGCATCAATAATTTTATACATGTATATATAGATTTCTTTTTATAAATATCTATATAATTATCTCATATTTTAACTAATATTTTTTAACAGTACTGTTTTGTAGAAAATATTTTAAAGCATTTACTTGTGAATATTATGCATTCGATGAACATTGTTATTTTTCTGTTTAATGTATCTATCTAAATTAATCGAAGAAAAGGCTGCACACCTATATACGTTGAATACTTTGAAACATCCATCCTGGTGTCTGTAAAGAAACTAAACTTCTCTTTTTCTCCTTTCATTATTAGTTGGAGTGGTAGATCGTTATGTGTAAGGTGACTTCTTAAGCTTAATGCCATTCTACAGCTAATGTACGTATTAATAATGCAACTATGAATTAATAATGCAACATTTGTAACGAGAATATTATATGTGGTGGATGATGTTATAACTGTTTGATTCATTCTACAGATGAAAAACTGTTTAGTGGCTTGATAGTGAATAAAAAAGTGATATTCATGCAGGGTCGCATGTTTTTAAAAATGTTTCAGTATCACATAATTGGGCATATATTATGGAAATAAATTCCGATCAGAATTATTCCATTTTTTCCCCAGAAAACACAATAGAAATCTAAGGAATATTATATATGTAATTGACAATTTCGATAGGAATTTATTCCTATTTCAAATAATTCCGTAATAAGTCCGCTGAACGGATTGAAAACTTTACACATACACATATGTTCAATGTAATTAATACATTTATATGCTCATTTTTGTAATAAGGATTGGAACAATATATTTATAAAAAAATATAATTAAATTATGAAAATTCAGTTATAAAAAGAAAATAAGTTTGAAGAATATATATTTTAATATACGTTCAATTATTTTATTTTCTTAAAATTTGTTTGTCTTTATAAAGAATCAACTAAGAGAACATGAGTCTTTTATTCATTTATTATATTGGAAATTTTTACAGCCGATCCTGTTGTGCCACAATTATTGATTGATCACTTCATTATCCATATAAGAAACTTCAAAGTTTTTTTAAGCTAAAGTTTGAAATTTCTAAACTTTAGCTAAAAAAACAGTCTCCGTTTCCCTTTGTTCTATTAAAGTTAGTCAACTTTTAAAAATAAAATTTGAAATACCAATCGGTTTTACTGTATAGTACGACTATAGCCATGTGTTACATATCAAACTGACAGAATGTCTGTTCGTATTTATTATTAGAAGTGATCATATTATTATATAAAATGTACATATTATGTATATATACATATTATATAGCATACCATACTACAATTTTTTCAAATATATTTTAATGATATTAATAATGTCTCTAGTTAAGTGAATGATACTATCAGGAATAAGAATCGTTTGTCGTTTTTACAATAATGATTTGGCAATTGAGTATTGATTATTTTACAATAATGAGTTGCAGTTTTTTTATGATAGTAATGGCAATATATCTAAAAATTAAATAGAATTGCAGAAGTTACTTTTAAAAAGTAACCAATTACTATTATACATAATTTCTTAAAAAAAGTAACTCATTTGCAGTACGTCAATTTATTATTTTTACTTATTATTTTAAATTGTGACAAGTAATAAGCTATTTTTGTACAATAAACAACGTATGATCACGATACTTTCGTTTCGAAAAATGATTTTTTCTCAACTTTTCAGTTAGTTACTGTTATCATCATTAAAAAATTGCAACGTCATTATTAAATCGTTATAAAAAGTAATGACAAAATAAAATAACAACAGTATTTATTTCCCATCTCTAAATCAATGCTGATAAATTCAATATAAAATTACGAAAACTGTATGTGACTTATTAAACATTATTACATCACTGTCAATATGAATTATTTATGACATATTACTTATGCAAGAAAGAATTTTTGTTAATTTTATGGGGTCAACCGGGGTAATTGTGAAAAAACGCAGTTTGAATTCAACAACGTGTCATTTTCTTAATTTTTTATTATTTGTACTTAAAAAAATTTAATTAAACTGAAATAATTTGGAAACTTTTTTATTATTTTAGAACAATTTATATAAAATAGTTCGTCTTTTATCAAAATATTAAGTATTTTGAAATATTCTTGTTCAATAAATTTCAAGGAACGTTTTTTAAAATGTTGATGCAAAAATGTATTAAAATTTTCGATATTATCTACATAACTTACAATTCTCTCCAAGAAATGTCTTATACAGAATATTTAAAGAAGACATCCCCAGGAGAAGTGGGTGTTTAAATCAAGATACTGTAATAACATTGTAATTGTAATGTATTTCACAAATATGTAAATAAGCATTCTTATAAATGAAGTAAAGTTTATTATATTCAAATTCAAATTACATGTGTGATTACATAAACACATTAATTGTTCTTCTCGGCATGTTTTAAAATTAGATTTTTATTCGACTTTCGTAGATTTTTATTTTTATTCTCGATGTGCCAGCAAAACTGATATATAACCGCCCGATGTTTTTAACAACTAAAAATATAATATATATAAAAAATGTATGTTGACGTATAAAAATAATTTAATTAATGACGAGATGATAAGAATAAACTTATACAGATATCACATTGTACATGTATGTATAAATCACATAACAAATAAAATAAAAAAAAATCATATACACAAAAGTTGTTTTTATTTTATTTTTATGTGATCTATATTAAGAATTGATAAAGGCAAGAGTAAAGGTTATATAAACAATTTCTATTAGCTGGCTTACGTTACAAAAAGTTGACATCGTCATAGGGAACAGTTTTCCTGCGGTAAGGTACAACGATTTGTTGGCTCGAATCATTATCATCATTAAGTTCTTTGCTTTCTTTGGCTCCAAATTATACCACTTGTATTTGTATACAGCTTGATAAACTCCTTCGCACTTGACATACATAACCATACGCAATAAATTTATATATTGTTATATTGATTGTGTGTTAAATTGGACTATTTTAATTAGTATATTGTATAATTTATATTCTGTTTGTAATAAGTTAACTAAGAACATAACATACTTGTGCAACTAAAATTTCTCCTACAGCGCAATATACACATGTATGTCCAAATGTATTGACAAATACTGACATAATGAAAGTTAAACGTGGTATCGACAAATTGCGACCCTGAGTCATCATCTAAACAAACGAATGGGTTAATTATATTTAATTCTATTTAATAGAATTAAATGTTTAATTTTTGAATGTTTAAGAAGTTATTGGTGTTAAATAAATAATTTAAAATATTTAATATAACGTTGATTAATTATAATTGATAATATGTTTTTGTTATTTATATTATATTATTATATATAACAAATTTGATACGTATATGATTATTTTTTATTTATTTATAATAACTTTAATTATTTAAATTATGTAAAATGCATTAATACAGCACTTAAAAATGTGATGGGTCTTTTTGCTTACAAACCGATTGTCTACGGTATCGTTTGTCTATATCACTTTTACCGATAGTTCGTTTGCGCACAAAAATTATTGTTAACAGCTTGATTGTCTACATGCATTTTTGTACACAAATACAAATTTCAGAAATGATGTTACATTTGCCTACATGTATTATTACCTACAAGTATTATTGCCTATAGCTCGATGAGCTGTAGGCAATAATACTTGCTTATGAGCACTTTTGTATATAAAGGTTAAGTTAGGTAAGAAAATGATTGTATTTTTAGAGCAGAGTATTTGTTTTAAAACAAAGAATTTGTCTTTAAAGCAGAAAATAGTACATGCATGGGCCATAACAGAGATGGTCGAGTTGTAGGCAATAATACTTGTAGGCAATAATACATGTAGCCATTTAGGCAAATGTAACTCCGTGTCTAAAATTTTTATTTGTACGCAAAAGTGCATGTAGACAATCGGGCTCTAAGCAGTAATACATGTAGGCGATCAATCTTATAGATAATAATATATGTAGGTAAATGTAATTTCGTCTCTGATATTTGTTCGCAAAAGTGCTTGTAGATAGTCGAACTGTAGGCAATTGATTTGTAGGCAAATGGGATTTCTCCTTTAAAATTTAGGAATATGAAAAGAATTTCTTACAACATTTCTTGAAATGTATAAGACAGTCCAAAAAGCGTTTAAATTTGTGTATTTGTTTACTTACTATGTAGAGTATATGTTTAATTTAAATTTTTAGAAAATATTCTGATAAAGATAAATTCTAATAAGATAAACGATATTTATAAAACATCACATTATTAGAAGGTTAATTAAGAAAGATTACTTACAGAACACAATAAAAAACCATGAAGTGCAAATAATATGCCAAGATAAAACAGCGTACCAAGTAACATTAATGTAAATATTTCGTCAATGATATTAATAAATCTGAAAATTATTAAAAAGAGAAAGTTATTAAAAAAGTCATATTTACAAATTAATTTTTTAGTATTATTTGTTTATATCATAATATTTAAAGAATTTTTTCATTTTATGTTATCTTTTAGAGTAATTTAAGTAAATATTAATCAAAAATGTTTATTTTTTTATATCTGTTAAAAAATTATTAAAAATTAATAATAATATGTGTAACCTGATAAGACGTATATGATCCTGTACGCTTTGTGATAAAGCATTTTCGAAATTTTGGAACTTGTCCAAGTGGATGATACGTATTTTGAGATTTTCCAATTGACCACATACGTGAAAAACTAATAAACTTAAAAAACTATCTACACCAGTATACATAATAGCTACCGCCGACAAGCCGAGACTTTGCATGATATAAGTTATTTCGTAAAATGGGCTTTTATCTCGATCGTATATATAATACGTTTGTAGCGGCAATAATTTGCCTGGATCTGTTTTATTTGTCAAGTATCTTATTGAAATACCGAAAGCAGGAAGAACTACACACAAATTGAAAGATACCAACATCATGAAATATCCGAATATTGTAAATATACGTGCCATTCGCGCTCGTTTTACCATAATGTCTCTCTCTTTTATCATTTTCGGTTTCAACCAATCGTCTTTAATCATGTTTAAAAGGGGTAGGACATCTGTAATCAACGAAGATAACAGAGTTATACAATTAAGCTTAATGGGATATTATTGTACTTTTTTAAATTAAAACAGTAAGATTGAAAAAAACTGTTTTTTTATTATATAATTTATAGAAATATGTAATATATATAAAAGAGAAGCTATATATAAAAGAGAAGCTAGTTGTTACAATCTTTTACTAGAATTTCTTTTCTTATGCATACATTTAAATTATTTTATTGAATACTTATGCATTGATTGAAATATATTTTTAACTAGTCTAATTTATTTTTAACTAGTTTAATTAGTGTATGTATAGATAATAAATAATTTTTTCTAATTTATATAAATATTTTTAAATATTGAAAGTTGAAATTTTTCGTTGATAAGTAAGCTGTAAAGAACAAATTTAAGATTACAATAAAAAATTAAATACAAAATATTTTATACTGAATGTTTATTTTAGGATATAAAATTAAACGTAAAAAAAATATGTTATTTCAGATTTTTTTCTTGAATGAATTATTAAATATATATCAATTAACTATAAGAAAGAAAGACCTTAAATTATTAATTTATCAATTATAAATACCAAATAAGTTCTTAATATTAATACAATACATTATTATAATCTGTTCAATCAAAATGTAATAATTAGTTATAACTCGTCATTTTTTATTCGAGAAAATATGGATAATAACCCAATATATGTACCTTTTGAATCAAATAAAATGTGTTATTATAACTAAATTTTTTTGTATATAAAATAATAACATAAATTACAAAAGTATAATAATAATAACTCTTACGTATAAGAAACAATTTACACAAATGAAATATTTACCTTCACATTATATAATCACATAAACATACAATTAGCATCTTCGTGTAGCATACATATAGCATCTTTTACAGTTCAATTATGTCACTAATTGTTAGTGGAATATCATAAGTATTAAATTAAACATAAAATTTATAAAAACGTGTATTGTCTTCTTTGGCTAAAAAGACTAATTGTAACAACTAGCTTTTATCTCCTCTATGTATTACCTTCCTTTCTCAGCCACATGATGGATAATTTTATTATTGATACTGACATCGGTAAAGTATATTGTAGATTATCAATCACACACATTATATCACCCCAAACTTTGAACAAAGAATGTATACTTGGAATGTAGCAGCCACAAATTACAGTGTTTAACATAAGAATTGTACAAATGTTTGATATTAATTTTTTCTGTTTAGTTTCGTTGTTTTTTGGCCAAACGCCCAACAATGCCAAATTAGTCCGATTTAATCGAATAGCCCATTTATAATCTATTTTATAGAGATATAAATGCTAGTAAAATTTTAATAAAATCAAATTTCTTTGTTGTCCATGAATTTTATGTAATTGTTATGTATTTTTTTCCTCTTTTTCATGTATATTTCTCTCTTTTTCTCCTTATTTTTTCTCTTGTTTCTAATATACATCACTTTCTTTTTATTTTTTTTTGTAAAAAGATATCCGTTTATTCTTGTGACACATATTTGCAATTGTGAATATTAAACTTTCGATTAAATTTATTATTAGCTAGATTAAAAAAATATCAAAGAAATTACATATAAAAAAGTGATATATTGTATTATGTATTGTATGCGTGTATATGTATGTATATATGTTTATATAAATGTGTAATAGAAAAATGTGAAAGTAAAAAAATAGTTGAATGATACAACTTTTCTAATTACATTTTTTTATCTGCATCAATAATTTTATATATATAT